CGGTCGTGCCCCAAGGAGTAGCCGGGGGGGGGGGCAGATCGGGCGTATGCGGCCCCGGAGCAGCGGTGTCCCCGCCCCCCTCCGGCGAGGAGGGAGGGGCCGACAGGGGCGATCGCGCGCGCCTTGCCATGGTCGGGGAGATGGGGCACACAGCCGGGCTGGCGCATACGGAAATGGGTGTTGGCCGGCGAAGGGAAATTTGGCCGGGCCCGGGCGCAAGCCATCGCCCCGGTCGCCGATGCCGGGGTGCTTCCCGGGCCTGGTCTATATTCCCGGCCGGGCCCGGCCGTGGGTTCCCCCCACGCCTGTCCAGAGGGGGCGGTCCGGGGGCGGCCCCAGGGCCGGGCGGCCGACTAGCCGGCCCGGGCGGGCCCCACCCCCGGGCGCGGCCGGGCCCCAACTGCGCCGATGCGCCAACCTGCCGGCAGCCGACCTCGGCCGGAGGCGCGGGCATGCCAGCAGCCCCCGGTGCCCGGTCTGCGTGCCTGCGCCCGCCGCCATCTCGCACCCCGCCGGGGCGCGGGGGGGGAAAGGGGGCCGCACACACGCACCGACGGACGCACGGACGCACGGACGCGCCAGACACACGGACGCGCCAGACACGCGGACACACAGGGCGCGGGGTGCCTTTTCCGACCCCCCCCCCCCCTGAGCGCGGATGGGCGGCGGAGCCATAATAACAGGGGCCATAGCCGGGCAAAAATGGCGCCCAGCACGGTGGGCGTTCCCAAATGGTCGAGACAAAAAGTGCCCCGCCCAAGGGGGCAGGGGAGAGGGAGCACCACCCACCGCACTTTCGGGCGATGCCCCTTTCGGCCGGGTGCTCCTCGCGGAAATGCCTCACGTGCTCCCATGGGGCCGTGGCGTGATTCGCGGCCCGGCCGCGGTCCCTGCTCGGCCTCGTGCCCGCGGACTCGAGAGCAGGGAGAGAGCAGGCCGAGAGGGGGGGGGGGGGCCCTTGCCGGGGCGTTGGCCTTTTGCTCCCTGCCCCGGCAGCAAAAAAGAGCTGGATGCCGCGAACCAGGATTGAACTGGTGACCTTGTGATCTTCAGTCACACGCTCTCCCAACTGAGCTATCGCGGCGCCCCTGTGCTGAGCGCCCCTCGCGCGCGGCTCCTAAAATGCTCGGGCGTTCGGGCATCCGGAGGGGCCACGGCGGGCGGGCGGGCGAGGGGCCGTTCTTGGTGCCCTTGCGAGCCGGGCGCCCCAGAGGGGGCAGGACACCCCGGAACGGGTTGGGCCCCCCGGTCCCCGGGCAACCGCGTACAGACGCTCGGCCGGCACAGCATTTGAGGCTGCCCGAAGGCGGCCGTGTCTGGCTGCGCGTGGCCAAGCGCCTCCCGTCGCCGCCTCCCTCTCCGCCCGGCCCTTCGTGTGGGTGCCTCTCTTTTTTTTTGCCCCTTCCACAAGTGCCTTTTTTGCGCCCCACCCTCCTCCATGCAGGTGGCTGCCTGCGCGAGGCCGGCCGCGTGTCAGTCAATGGCGCCCCCCCCCCCCCCCCCCCCCCCCCCCCCGAGGCCGGGCCCACCAAGCGGGCAGTCTGCCCCCGGAGCCGCCCCCGGCCGTCGGGATCCTCAAGTGTGCCGGCATGTGTGCCCTGGCGGGGGGCCGGATCGGTGTGTAGCGCAGCCGCCTGGAGGGCTGCCAGCCGGCGCTGCAGCCGGCCGGGGACCGGCACGGCGCCACTGCCCCGGCGTGGTCCGCCCCGCCGGCCGACCCGCCCGTCCGGCGCGGGCCCCCGGCCCCGCCCCTGGCCAAGCACCCATGTGCCTGTCTGTGGGCTGTGGCCGCCGTGGCGCTGGCCGGGGTGGCGGGGGAGGCCGGATGCGGCGCGATCGACTTGCTGCGGGGCGGCCCGGCACGCCGTGCTGGCGCTGCGCTGCGCAGCCGGCCCCCGAGCCGAGGGCACTCCCCGAGGTGCGCGAGCCGATGGCGACCGGCGGGTGCGCGATTTGCCGCCCTCCGGCCCCAATGGCGCGCATCGGGCCATGCGAGCTGGGGGGCGGCGTTGCCGCTGGCCGGTCTGCGGGGGGCCCGCACGGGGCACTTTCTGCCGGCCGCGGGTCGCCGGTCCACCGAAGCCACCGGGGCAGGGCCGCGCGCTACGGCCGCGCCCCCGAGCCGGCAGCCGGATGCTCCCGGCCGTGGCGGCGACGCCCATGTGGCCAGGCCCGTCGGGCGTGGGGCCGGCCGGCGGGGTACGGTATCTCGGTGGCCGTGGCGCGCGGAAAAGGAAAAAAAGGAGCCCGCTTGGGCCTCGGGCAGCGGCATCCGTGGCGGCGGCATCTGTGGCGGCGGCATCTGTGGCGGCGGCATCCGTGGCGGCGGCATCCGTGGCGGCGGCATCCGTGGCGGCGGCATCTGTGGCAGCTCCACTGCACGGCCCTCCAGTCGGCCTGGGGGCGGGGGGTCGCACTCCCGATGCCCCCTGTGAGTGTGTTGTCGATGGGAGGCGTCCTGCCCCCTTTTTTGTGCTGTCTTGTCGGAGGAGGGGCCCAGCCGTGGCCGGGCGTCGGAGCCGGGCCGGGCTCCCTCTGTCGGGTCTGGCGTGGCTCTTTCGGCCACAGTGCAAAGCACATGGGGGCCGGGCCGGCGGGCGGCGCCATATGGGCGGGCCCTCTCTGCTCGTCGCGCGCGGCACCCCGGTGCGGCGCCCCCCCTGCTCCTCGCCGTGCGTGCGAGGCATGCTTGGCATGTGCTGCTGGGGCGGTCTCATCTTTGTGCGCCATGGTGCGTGTGCGTGTGCGCGCGCGCGCGCCGTCCGGCACCGGCACCAGGGTGCAGCTGGGCCCTCTCTCTCTGTTTCGGCGCCCCTCCGAAAGCCAGGGCGCGGACGGGCTGCGGCCGAAAAAAGGGAGCAGCCCACTGTGGGGCTCGAACCCACGACCCTGGGATTAAGAGTCCCATGCTCTACCAACTGAGCTAAACAGGCTTGTGCACGGAGGAGGGGGCGGGAAAAATAAAAACCCCGCGGCCTGGCCGCGCGACCAGGCACCGGCACCCTCTCCCCCCGGGCCGCGGGGGGCCGGCCACGCCGCCGACCGAAAGTGGCCGCCCTGCCCACCGCATCCAACCACGCAGCGTGCACTCGCCCCTCCGCCCCCCCCCTCCCTGTCGTCCACGAACGAACGAATGAACGAGCGAATGGCCGGCCATCCACCCGGGCGAGGGGCTCCGGCTTCTTTCGAGCATGTTGTGTATTGCACGGCGGCGGCGGCGGCGGCGGCGGCGGTGAAAGGCACTTGCGCCGGGGGCTCGAGAAGGGGGCACACGGCGCGAGCGCATGGCTCTCGTTCCCTCTCTCGCAGGTGGCAGCCCCGCGCGGCGGGCGCCGATCCGCGACGCGGGCCGGGCGTGCTGCACCATGTGCGGGCGGCTGCTCAGGCTCCAAGGGTGTCCATCTCCATGGACCCGGCACTGGCGCCGGACTTGCCGGCGCCGCGGCCGACCGCGGCCTTCCGCAGGAACACCACCACCACGGCGGCCACGATGAGGATGACCAGCAGCGACAGGCCCACCCCGAGGCCGATGGCCAGGGCGGTCTTGTTCCGGCCGGAGGAGGGCTTGCTGCCGCTGCTACCGTTGCCGCTGCTGCCGCTGCTGCCGCTGCTGCCGCTGCTGCTGCTACCGCTGATGCCGCTACCGCTGATGCCGCTACCGTTGCCGCTGCTGCCGCTGCTGCTGCTGCCGCTGCTGCCGCTGCTGCCGCTGCTGCCGCTGCTGCCGCTGCCACCGCTGCCGCTGCTGTCATCGGGCACCGGAGTGGTGCAGTCGCGCTCGTCGGGGCCGGTGCAGGCATCACAGCCGGCATGGCACGGCGCGCAAGACGACCCGCCGGCCTCGGGGTAGCTGCCATTCGGGCAGGTGGCCTGGCAGCCGGCGCCGGGGATGAGGAACGGCCGGGCCGGCGAGCAGGCCGTGCACTGGGCCGCGGCCGGGCCCGCGCACTCGGCGCACGTCTCGTGGCAGCCGGAGCAGACATCGGCCTCGACGAAGAAGCCGGCCTGGCAGGCGGTCAGGCAGCCGACGCCCGGCTGGAGGACATGCCCGGGGTCGGCGCACGCGGTGCAGTGGGCCGGGCCGGTGCCGCCGGCACAGCCGGCGCAGCTGCCATGGCAAGGCTCGCAGCGGCTCTGGTCGGCCGACGGGCCGAAGCCATCCCGGCAGACGGACATGCACTCGCCCGTTGACCAGTCCTGCAGGAAGCCTTCCATGCAGCCGGTGCATTGGTCGGTCTCGGGGCCGGTGCACTGGGCGCAGGACTCGGCGCAGGCCCGGCACATCCCGTCGTCCTGGTAGTCGGCGCTGCCGGCCGGGCAGGTGTCCAGGCACTGGCCCAGGAACAGGACCTGGCCCACTGGGCAGGCGTCCAGGCACTGGCCCAGGGACAGGACCTGGTTGGCCGGGCAGCCGGTGCAGCGGGTGGCCCCCGGGCCGAAGCAGGTGGCGCATGCGTCGCTGCATGCCCGGCAGGTGCCGACATTGGTGAAGGTCCCGGCCGGGCAGGCGCCCTCCGGCAGGCAGGCCCCCTGGTGCAGGGTGTGGCCGGCCTGGCAGAGGTCGCACCAGTCGGCGGACGTGCACAGCTTGCACCCCTCGGAGCAGGCCGGACACAGGAAGTCGCTGCCGGTCCATTGGCTGAAGTGCCCGTCCTCCGGGCAGCTGGTGGAGCACGTCTCGTGGACGAGGTAGGACCGGATGGCGGGGCTGCATTCGAGGCACTTGTGTGGGGCTTCGCTGGTGCAGGTGTCGCACATGGGCTGGCATGCGAAGCAGGCCCCGGCCTCCGGGTGGGGGAAGGTGCCCTTCGGGCACTCGTTCGGCGGGAGGCACTGCCGGTCCGGGGTCAGGAGGAGGCCCGGCTGGCAGGCCACGCACACCAGCGGCTGGCCGGTGCGGCACGTCTTGCAGTTGGG